GGCACCACCGCCTTGGTCACCCCTCCCTGCTTCGTCTCCGAAGCATGGCCTCCCGTGTCCTTGTCTCTGGTCTTCCCCGGTCCCTCCCTCCCCTTCCTCCGGGGCCTGGCCCTACCTGCGTCCCCTGTGTCGAGGGGCGGCAGCGGGCTGCCCCTCACTCCTCCCAGTTTCCTCCGACAGAGGCCCCGCTGCAGACGCTTCACATGGATGTGTGGGGCCCGGCCCGCGTCCGTGGACAGGGTCACGAGCGCTACTTCCTGCTGGTGGTTGACGACTACTCGCGTTACACCACAGTCTTCCCCTTGCGCAGCAAGGGTGATGTCACTGAGGTGTTGATCGACTGGATCCGCGCAGCTCGTCTCCAGCTCAGGCAGAGCTTCGGCTCGGACTTTCCTGTTCAGCGTCTGCACTCTGACAGAGGTGGAGAGTTCTCCTCTGGCCTTCTGCGAGCCTACTGTCGTGCACGAGGCATCCGCCAGACCTTCACGCTTCCGGACTCTCCACAGCAAAATGGGATTGCTGAGCGCCGCATTGGCATGATCATGGATGTCGCCCGTACGTCCATGATGCATGCGGCTGCCCCCCATTTTCTGTGGCCGTTTGCGGTTCGGTACGCGGCGCATCAGATCAACCTTCACCCCAGGGTCTCCATGCCGGAGACCTCCCCAGCTTTGCTGTGGACGGGGAAGGTTGGCGATGCGTCTGCGTTCCGTGTCTGGGGATCTCGGGCGTTTGTCCGCGACTTGTCTGCGGACAAGCTGTCCCCTCGTGCTGCTCCTTGCGTCTTCCTTGGCTTCCCCCCTGACGCGCCAGGGTGGCAGTTCTACCACCCCACCTCAAGCCGTGTTCTGTCCTCCCAGGACGTCACGTTTGACGAGTCGGTCCCCTACTACCGCCTCTTCCCCTACCGCACTCCGTCCCTCCCCCCGCCACCGCTCTTCCTTGTCCCAGGTCCCCCCCCGGTAGACCCCCTCCCCCCTCAGGGTCCTGCCCCTTCAGGTGTGTCCCAGGTAGACGCAGTCGAGCCTGTCGAGGTTACTGGTGACTCTGGTGCTGCTGAGGGTGCTGAGCCTGGGGGTGCTGACTCTGGGGGTGCTGAGCGTGGGGGTGCTACGCCTGGGGGTGCTGAGCCTGAGGGTGCTACTACTGGGGGTGCTGAGCCTGGGGGTGCTGAGCCTGGGAGTGCTACGCCTGGGGGTGCTACGCCTGGAGGTGCTGAGCCTGGGGGTGCGGAGCCTGAGGGAGCTGGGCCTGCTCGTGTGGCGTCTGGCGGTGCTGAGCCTGGAGGTTCTCCGGGTGCTTCGTCTCGACGGGAGGCACTCTCTCCACAGGAGCTGCGCGAGTGGTTTGCCCGGCGCTGGAGGCGTGCTGCTGGAGCTGGAGGTTCTTCGGCTGCTGAGGGTGCTGGTGCCGCGGGTCCCGGAGGTGCTCGTACTGGGAGTACTGGAGCTGCTGGGCCTGCGGGTACGACTGGAGCTGGAGCTGCTGAGGGTGTTGGCGCTGAGGCTACTGCTGTCGGTCCTGCAGGCGGTCCTGCTGGGGGTGCTGGAGCTGGAGGTACTGCTGGCGCTGGTGCTGCCGCTGGGGGTACTGGTGCTGTCCCTGCTGTGTCTGGAGTCGCCACACGGCCTAGGCCGTACTTCGTTCCGCTCCTTCAGCAGGTTCTTGGTCTCCCGCCTTCTCCTGGTCCTCCTCCTCCCTTAGAGTGTCCACAGCCTGTCCCGTCACAGTTACAGTTACAGCCGGCCTCCCCACTGCCCGCTCCTTCTCCCTACACTGGTCCTACTGGAGGTCTTGCTGAGCGTCGTGAGCCTGCGTCTCGCCCTGCGTCGCCTGTCCGTGCTGCTCGCACTAGTGGTCGTGGTTCGCGTCAGCGTCCTCCTCCTGTCCCTGGCACGCACCGGATGTCTCTGCGTCCGTCCACTGCTCCTCTGCGTGCCCCTTTGCCTTCTCCTCCTGAGTCCTCTCTTCCTGCTCTTCCTGACCCGGAGTCGGACTCCCTTCGTGCTGCCAGTCCGACTGTCACGCGTCTCCTTGCTACTGTTGTCACTGACCCTTCCTTTGAGTCCACTGCTGCGTCTGCCCTAGTTGCTGAGCTCGTCGACTTTGCTGCTCGCTGTCGTCTAGACTACGCTGCTAGTCTTGTTGCTGAGTCTGAGTCTGTCTGTCCTCCGTCCGTCGGGGGTGAGTGTGCCCTTGGCACGGACGTCCTTGAGGACAGGCAGGAGGAGTTCCAGTGTCTGGCTGCTGCTTCACCTCATCTCGTGTCCGTACTGCTTACCCCTGAGGGAGACCCGGATGCACTTGACATCCCGACTCCGCGCTCTTACGCGGAGGTGATAGAGGGTCCCTACTCCTCTCAGTGGCAGGCAGCTATGGACGCAGAGATGGCTTCCTGGAAGTCCACAGGCACCTACGTTGACGAGGTTCCCCCGCCTGGGGCGAACATCGTCAGTGGCATGTGGATTTTCAGAGTGAAGCGGCCGCCGGGTTCTCCGCCTGTCTTCAAGGCGCGTTACGTGGCTCGTGGCTTCAGTCAGCGGCAGGGAGTTGACTACTTTCAGACCTTCTCTCCCACCCCGAAGATGACCACTCTTCGGGTACTGCTGCACATAGCTGCTCACCGCGACTACGAGCTGCACTCTCTTGACTTCAGCACTGCTTTCTTGCAGGGCAGCCTGCACGAGGAGATCTGGCTGCGTCGCCCACCTGGCTTCACTGGGTCCTTTCCTCCTGGCACCCAGTGGAGCGTCCGGCGGCCAGTCTACGGTCTCCGCCAGGCACCGCGTGAGTGGCACGACACACTGAGGACTACACTTGCGGCTCTTGGGTTTGCTCCCTCTACTGCCGACCCGTCGCTGTTTCTGCGCACCGACACTTCTTTGCAGCCGTTCTACATCCTCGTGTACGTCGACGACTTGGTCTTTGCCACAGCTGACACTGCTGGACTCGCCCACGTGAAGTCCGAGCTGCAGAAGAGACACACGTGCACAGACCTGGGTGAACTGCGCAGCTACCTTGGCTTGCAGATCACCCGGGACAGAGCACGCCGCACCATTACCCTGACTCAGTCACACATGGTGCAGCAGGTCCTTCAGCGCTTCGGCTTCACGTACTCCTCGCCTCAGGCCACTCCTCTGCCTACTCGCCACTCGCTCTCAGCTCTGCCTTCGGATGAGTCCGTAGAGTCGAGTGGCCCGTACCCAGAGCTTGTTGGCTGCCTCATGTAACTGATGACCTCCTGCACACGACCTGACCTTGCATACTCTCTTAGCATTCTTGCACGCTATGTTGCTCCTGGGAGACACAGACCGGAGCACATGGCTGCAGCGAAGAGGGTGTTGCGCTACTTGTGCAGTACATCGGGCATGGGGCTTGTGCTTGGAGAGCAGAGTCCAGTGGTCCTCACTGGACACGCAGACGCTTCTTGGGCTGACGACCAGGCTACGCAGCGGTCGTCACAGGGTTACACCTTCAGCCTTGGTTCCGGCTCTGTTTCGTGGCGGGCTACTCGCTCGTCTTCTGTTCTCGGCTCCAGTTGCGAGGCTGAGATCTACGCCGGGGCCATGGCTGCACAGGAGCTTCGCTGGCTCACCTACCTGCTGACTGACCTCGGAGAGCCGCCTCGTTCTCCTCCAGTGCTCTACGTAGACAACAAGGCCATGCTGGCCTTGTGTCGAGAGCAGAGACTGGAGCACAGAACGAAGCACATTGCTCTTCGCTACTTCCTTGCTCGTGAGCTACAGCAGCGTGGTCAGCTGCGACTTGCGTACGTGACCTCTGAGGCCAACACTGCTGATATCTTCACCAAGGCACTTGCGCCTTGTGATCATCAGCGCTTCTGTACTCAGCTGGGTCTTGTGCCTACCTTGCCTCACTTGCTCACCTCTTGACCTTGTTTGTACTATTGCATATATATATACTCCTGCTCTTGCTTGTTTAGCCTTATATATATATGTAATCCTGCATGTGAACTGGCCTTGTGGCCTTGAACTTGTGCTCGGAATGTGTGGTGACTTTGTGATCCACCCTGAGCTTGCTTTGCTTTGCTTGACTGGTCTTGTGACCCCTTGTTCTCCCCACTTTGCCTATGGGGGTGTGTCAGAGTTATTTGACATAGCTACTGTAGGCTATAGTGGAGTAGCACATATGGGGTACAGTTTCCTAGGGTTTGCCTTTTGTACCCAACTTTCACTTAGTCATTTCATTCCTGTTTTCTTGATTCACAGCATGAGACAGCTTCGGCGAGATAACAGAAGTGCGAAACAGACGCGGTACTGGATGGGCTTGGTGCTGAAGATGAAGTGAAGAAGTGAACTAGATGTAGAAGCAGCAACACCATCGATGCGCGCGTACCAGGAGAAACAACACGAACGAGCTGTGTCCACTCATGTATACCGCCAGCTCAGCCCGGTGGTTTGTTCCGATTGGTCCTCCACTTCGCCACATACCTTATCTGCAGCAATGAACGAATCATGCGTGAATCAGCAGCTCCGAATCGATTGGGTGCACCTATCCAGAAACACGGATTTGCGAGTGACTACTCCTTGCATCGTCACCACACAATACATTGGGTTGCAGATGAACTATTTCGTACGATAACAACATAGAAATAAAGTAGTATGTTTCAATAATCACCATGTAAATATACAACATTATAGAAATAGAAAACTTACAACATCAACCCTCTAACCCTACATAGCCACATAAACTATCTTTCATAAATCACAAACAGGTAAAAACAAATAGTTTCATTGATAATACAGCACTGGGCAAATTTGGCCAGGCCACACCAAGGTAACGTTATATTTCATAAATCCCAACAACAACAACAACAACAACACCAACAACAACAACAACAACAACAACAACAACAACAACAACAACAACAACAACAACAACAACAACAACAACAACAACAACAACAACAACAACAACAACAACAACAACAACAACAACAACAACAGCAACAACAGCAACAACAACAACAACAAAAACAGCAACGACAACAGCAACGACAACAGCAACGACAACACCAACGACAACACCAACCACAACAACAACGACAGCGACAACGACAGCGACAACATCAGCGACAACAGCAATGACGACGACAACCACCACGACAACGACAACAGCAACGACAACAGCAACGACAACAGCAACGACAACAGCAACGACAACAACAACGACAACAACAAGGACAACAATAGCGACCACAACAGCGACAACAACAACGACAACAGCAACGACAACAGCAACGACAACAGCAACGACAACAACAACGACAACAACAAGGACAACAATAGCGACCACAACAGCGACAACAACAACGACAACAGCAACGACAACAGCAACGACAACAGCAACGACAACGACAACGACAACGACAACGACAACGACAACGACAATGGCAACGACAACGACAACGACAACGACAACACCAAGGACAACAGCAAGGACAACACCAGCGACAACACCAGCGACAACACCAACGATAACAACAACGACAACAGCAACGACAACAGCAACGACAACAGCAACGACAACACCAGCGACAACAGCAACGACAACAACAACGACAACGACAATGGCAACGACAACAGCAACGACAACGACAACGACAATGGCAACGACAACGACAACGACAACAGCAACGACAACGACAACACCAAGGACAACAACAAGGACAACAGCAAGGACAACACCAGCGACAACACCAGCGACAACAGCAACGACAACAACAACGACAACACCAACACCAACAAGGACAACAGCAACGACAACAGCAACGACAACATCAATGACTACACCAGCGACAACAGCAACGACAACAACAACGACAACGACAACACCAACAAAAACCACAAGGACAACAGCAACGACAACAGCAACGACAACAGCAACGACAACAACAACAACAACGACAACGACAACACCAGCGACAACAACGACAACATCAACGACAACACCAACAACAACAACAACGACAACAGCAACGACAACAGCAACGGCAACAACAATGACAACGACAACGACAACATCAACGACAACAACGACAGCATCAACGACAACACCAACGACAACAACAAATACAACAGCAACGACAACAGCAACGACAACAGCAACGACAACAGCAACGACAACACCAACGACAACGACAACACCAACGACAACAACGACAACATCAACGACAACAGCAACGACAACAACAGCAACGTAATGTGGCTGGTCGTATTATTGTGAATGCCCTTGCGAGATAAAGCCTTTACTGAAGCACATGCACTGATTAAACGACCACTTGCACATTACGATAAATGCTGTACAATCACTGAGCGAAAATAAATGGTTACAACAAACTTATACATTAACGAAAATGATGTACATATGATTTGTTGCAATTTTAGAATATACAAAGCAGAAAGCAATCCAAAGCTATCAACATGCAACACTGTGCATTTGTGTACAACATTTTAGGAAAAAGAGCTTTGTTGCTGCAGCTTGATTACCATTATTAATTAGAGATTGTGTTAGCATTCGATTTTATGAAGTAGTGTTTACCATCACCTTAAACCGGAGTTCGCCAAAATCGATAATACTGACGCGATCTCAGCCATCGGAAATTCTATTGCAGCCAAAGCCGTAGATGTGAAATGCTCGATGCCACGTTGGTGACGGATGCGCATTTTTCGCTCGCGTGAGCAACGTGGACCAGCAAAGTTGAAAACGAAAACCGGCCATTTTCAGGTGCATGCAACTTAGTCAGGAAGAACTGTTCAAGTGTATGCTATCCCGTCGTGTTTCTCCCTCTGTTATTACTGTTTGTACACCTCCGCCACGAAAACCACTGTTCGTCAGGTAATGCTACCCATGCGACTGACACCAGCTGGCGCAGCTCTCGCACGAACTCGTTGTCCAACCACACCAGTCGCAACCTTACTGTCAATACATATCGAAACACACCTGACAAAAAACGTGCAAACGGATATATAACCCAATTGGAAACGCAAGCGACTCGGGAGGAATCAACCCTAAACACCAGGGCGGTTCCCGTGTTTAGGTTGATCTCTTCCGAAGAATGAGTCCAGGTTCCCTAGTTTTTTTTTTCTTCCCACTGCCATACGGGACGTCAACCCTAAACACCAGAACGGTTCCCGTGTTTAGGGTTGATCCATCCCGAACAATGTCCAGGTTCCCTAGGAGTTGTATTTTTATTTTTCGGGCTTCCCTGCCAGACCGATTTTGCGTGTGTTGCGTGTGTTGCGTGTGCTGCTTGTGTTGTGCGGGTTGCATCCCCTGACAGAACAGTGGTTTCGTGGCGGAGGTGTACAAACAGTAATAACAGAGGGAGAAATACGACGGGATAGCATGCACCTGAACAGTTCTTCCCGACTAAGTTGCATGCACCTGAAAATGGCCGAACGAAAACACTATTCACATTGCAAACGACAATAAATCGTGCGAGATCGCACATTTTCAGCCACGGTTCTGTGTGCGGAAGTGATTTGTGCAGAAAGTTTTCGCGTCGTGTCATCACTGCTGTTTACCTCCGCCAAGTTACTTTCAAGAAGCAAGTGAAGAAATCAATCGTAACCGCACAATGAAATCGGTTGGAGTTTGGACCGTCGATTGAAATTGCCACCCGCCGCGACGCGAATTTGAGAGGTACCACAGCCATTTCACTCTCGAAAAGGGTACATCGAAAGGCAGATTTGGAGTGATAACGGCGGGGTACCTCAAACGCCTGTTTCTTGAAGTTTACAAGACTCCCGAAGGATCGCTCAGTTTCGTAATATCACCGCGACCGTAAACAGGCTTTGCCCAATTTTTGCGATGATTAGCCGTCCTCATTCGTGGTGTGCCCTTGCATGTTAGGATGTTATGCAATATGATGATGCATGATGTCCCACCACACACCCTCCACAGTTTGCACTCGTGGCGCCTGCCGAATAGACGCCACCGGTTCTTGAGCGCGCCTATGGTCCGTTCAACAACCATGCGTGTGGCTGACTGCACTTTGTTGAAGCTCTGCTCCCATCTCTTCATTAACCGTTTCCTTGGTGCATGCAGCGGTGTAAGACAGTAATCCCGCAAAGGGTAGGCGGCTTCACCGACCAGTTGGTAAGGAGCGAGTTCTCCACCTTCCAGCCTTCCGTAGAGCGCCGATTGCGTGAATACGCATTGGTCGGGATTAGAACCAGGGTTCCCGACGTTGTAGTCCCATATCATGCCCCGCGCATCACATATAACCTGTAGTTGGACAGAATAGTGTGAGTTGCAATTATAATATTCCTGTCTGTGCCCCTCCATACCGCGGACCTGAATATGGGTCCCATCTATGGCCCCGATGACGTTAGGGACTCCTTTCACCGCTCTGAAATCTGCAGCCATAGCTGGCCGTGCTTCTGGTGGGGGAAAGCACACCCACTCACGTTTGAAGCGATGCGGGAAGGCCAACAAGAATGCGTCGACCAGGCGATGGAGAAGCGATTTAGGAATGCCGAATATCACAGCCATGTCTACGTAAGATAACCCTGAGGCGAAATAATTGATCGGAATAAGGACACATAGCTGAATAGGATGTGATGACGCTCCACAAAATGGGATAACGGTTCCTGCATGGCGTCAGTGATGTACACGAGGATGTCGCGGGTTATTTGGAATATGTCTTGAAACTCCCCGTCGGTCATAACACGCATGTCCTCCTGCCACTCCTGGATTCGCGTTTGACGCCGACGACGACGGACAGAAATTCTCTCCTTCGCTCGACGAGCAGCTTCTTCGTCAACGTGAACAACCCTGACTGGGAGGCTTTGTCGTAAGGCTAACCACTCTTCGCTGGCTCTAGCTACCATGGGCAACCACACTAGTATGTAATATGCACCCCAAAGCTGCATGACGGCTAGAAGCGCTGCCGCGACCTTAGGGTCCATGTCCCTAACAGAATGATGTGCTCGCCTGGGTATTACCTTTGGGCCGTGCATGAGATCGTCATTTAAATATGCAACTACCAATAGTCTGGCCGTGGACCAAGCGCGGCTAGTGGTGTTCCATCGTGCTGGTGTGGTTGTTTGGAAGATGCACGATTATCAATGTGGGGTTGGTGATCCAATTACGTGCACTTCGTGTTTGTGAGGATGTTTGCACGTGTTGACGGACGCCGTTGTTTTCGGACGTGTGTCTTGTCGGTTGCATGCAGTTGGCGGTCAAAATTCGGTCGTGCGGATGGTTGCACTGCATGTAGCTGGTTTGACTCCAGATCGCCGGTTGTTCTGTCAATGTAGGCAACATTGACACCAACCTGGAGCCGCACGGGATCGTGGCTCCACTTGGTGTCAAGCGAATTTCCCGCTTGACACTATCCACTCTTGACACCAGCCAGGGATACGACCTCAGAACGATGACTCGGTTGCCCCTGGTCCCAGCCCAGCGAGTGGGGTGGTTTTGCTGGTGCACTTTTGGTGCAAAAGGCCTAGCCGTATCATGACGTGGCAGGGCAGGCTTTGAGTTTCGATAAGGACTTCTTGCCCGTTGAAGGAATTGGTGTGTAGGGCATCAAATATACGGGTGTCAATTGCAACCAAGGACGCATTCCCGCATCGAATCAAGGCAGAGGACACGGGGTCGTATGCCCCTTGGCAGTTGTGAAGTTGCAGAGAGCCAAATTACATGCCAGTTCCGCTGGCAGGCTGGGGCTCACAGTCGTTCCGAACCGAACCAACTGAGCCACGGTCCAGATCTTCCTTCGGCACATCCTTGTGGCGGCCACGATATTCCCCTGTGTCCCACACCGACTCCAAACCTTTTCATGAGTCGCCCAATTGACTCCTCCTCCCGCCTCAATCCCCTCTGCAACGTTCTCCAAACCTCCCCACTCCCCGATTCTCGTCTATCATCCCCGCCTCCCGTTCATAAACCTGCCTCCCGCCATTTGAAGCTTTCTTTTCCTCTCCTCTCGCAAGAGAGGCACGACGATCAGATCGGGCCGAAGCCGCACCTCACGCGCGGGGTTGTGGGTTTCTCTACCCCTACCACAGCGGCCGCCATCTGACGCCATCTGATCGTCATCCCCCCGCGTTACAGTTCGTTGAGTTGATTATTATCTACTGTCGTCGTAGTTAGGGTGTGGCTTTTCCTCATTTTTCAGGGTCAATTGAGTCGAATCTTCTCGCCAATGGCCAGCCTCAGGCCCGCCGCAGACACGGCCGTGTCAGCCGATCGCCATTGGTCCACGTCAGCCTCCCCATCCCTAGACGCGTCAGCGTCAAGCCCTCTCCCTACCCCCTCCACAGCCACTAATGCTACCGAAATTCGTCTTCCGCTGTACGCGGCGACGACTCACACCAGCGGTCTGCTAGGCCTGCACCTGCCCACCCCCACTCACGCCGAGCCGCTGCCGGCCAGACGCCGCAAGGAGAGGCTGTCGCGCGCGGGCGAGCTCGCCGAAACTGCGACGTCGCGAGTGGATTTTGCGAAACGGTCATTGTCGCAACACGAGCAGCAGCAGCCGCAGCAACAGGTTCAACTGCCATGGCAAACCGAAGCGAAAGCTTCCCACCGTCATAGCTCTGGCTCCGCCGTCGCAGTGCATTCTCGTGCGTTCGCGTCGGCGACTGCGGCTGCGACTGCGACAGCTTCGGCGACAGCGACGGCGTCGGGGTCGCCCAGCGTGCTGCGAGGCGACGACGTGGAGTTCGACATCGACTTCCACTTGCACGAGCTGCCGTCGCGCGCGCGACATGCGACAGAAGCGACTACTAGTGCGACGAGTGCGGGCGACTGGCGGGAGGCGGCGGAGTTTAAGCTCGCAATGGGCGCGCTGATGGGGCGCGTGACGGCGGAACTGGCAAAAGCGGGGGTGGCGGTCGGAATGGGGAAGCGTAAGTTGAAGGCGGAGCGGAGGACGGAGCGCAAAGTGCGGCTGAGTCCGGCTGTTAGTCGGCTGGTCAGCGGCGCCGTCGCCGGTGGCGTGTCGCGAACAGGTGGGTGTCGGCGGAGTGTCGCGAACAGGTGGATGCTGAGGGCAGGGGAGCAAGTAGCGGGGGGTGGGGGGGAATGCGCATGGGCGGAAAAGCGTATGCGGGAGTTGGCGCATGTTGGGGTGCTCGCGGGATCGAATCAGTCTCGTCGTGCCCGTCGCGGCTACCATGCGCCATTGCGCCACCCCCTGGTTGCTTTCACTCTCCGCATTCCACGTGCCCGTCCATTCCCCCGCAAATCCCGTTTTTCCCCACTCACTCTCCCTCCCCACCCTCCCACCCAACCCCTCCACAAATCCTTTCTTGACCTTGTTCATTCCCCTGCTCTTCCCCATCCCGTCAATTTCCCTTTCCCCACTTCCGTCTCATCCCTCTGCTTCCCTCCCCCCCCCTCTCCCATTCACCGCTCGCCCCCCAATCTCTCCCCCCTATTCTCTCCGTCCGCCAGCCACGGCCCCGCTGGAGACGATTCGCACGCACATGATGTGCGGGCGGGGCGGGCTGGCGGCGAATGGGAGCATGACAGCTGTCTTCCAGTGGGTGCTGCGCACGGAGGGGTGGACGGGGCTGTTCCGCGGCAACGCCATCAACGTGCTGCGCGTCGCGCCCAGCAAGGCCATTGAGGTGCGGCGAGGGGCAATGAGGAGAGAACGAGGAGAGAGGGGCAGTGAGAAGAGAGGGGGAAAGATGGAAGAGAGGGGAGAGGGGGAGGTGTGATGATGGGGGAGGTGAAGGGACTGTTCCGCGGCAACGCCGTCAATGTGCTCCGCAAGGCCGTGGAGGTGCGACGAGGGGTAATGAGGAGAGAACGAGGAGCGAGGGGAGAGAGAGGAGAGAGTGGGGAAGAGGGAAGAAATGGGGAGAGGGTTAGGTGAGATGAGGGGAGTCGAAGGGACTGTTCTGCAGCAACGCCAGCAAAGCGTTTGAGGTGGGGGGGGGGGAGGGATGGGAGTGTGGGGGAGGAAGGAATGAGGGGGGAACTAAAGGGGGAAAGGCAATAGGGGTGGGGGGGGATTGGGAGGGGAATGCGCGTGGCGGGCAGCGAAGTCATGGCGGCCCCGCTCGCACAAAAGGACAGCTTGCTTTCCTGCCCTTTCTCCCTCCCCATGGCACTCCCCTCTCCCTTCGCTTCCCTCCTCACACCCTCCTCTTCCGCCGTCCCTCCTACCCCTTCCCTTACTCCCCCCTCCCCCGCGTGGACCTATTTCCCAGCTCACATGCCCCCTTAATCCTTTTCGGATTATTACAAGGTCAAGCCCTTTCGCCTCCTGCCTCCTCACCTACCCTCTCTTGCCCCTCTCCTTCCCTCGCTCCTGCCTCGTGCCCTTTCTCATGCCCCCCTTCATCTCTCCCCCTCCTTTCCATTCTCCTATCCCATTCCCTGCCGTCACCCCTCCCCCCCCCCCCCAGAAGCTCACATACGACACGGTGAAGCGCTTTCTCATGCCCCCCTCCATCCTCTCCCTCCTGCCGCCCCGCCCCCCCACCACCCCCCTTCTCCCCCCTTTTCCTTTCGCCCCTACCCTGTACAGATGCTCACATACGACACAGTCAAGCGTTTTCTCACTCCCAAAGAAGGCCGCCCCTCCATCATCCCGCGTCAGCTCCCCCTCCCCATCTCTTCCATCGCCGGCTCGTCCGCTGGCATCGCCTCCTGCCTGCTCACTCACCCGCTGGAGCCCCGTTCCTTCCCTCGCTCCTGCGTGGTGCCCTTTCTCATGCCCCCCTCCATCTCTGCTCCCCCTCCTTATGATTCCCTGCTCCCACTCTAGATGCTCACATACGATACAGTCAAGCGTTTTCTCACTCCCAAAGAAGGCCGCCCCTCCATCATCCCGCGCCAGCTCCCCCTCCCCATCTCCTCCATCGCCGGGTCCTCCGCCGGCATCGCCTCCTGCCTGCTCACCTACCCGCTAGAGCTCGTCAAGACGCGCCTCACAGTCAACCCCGACATGTACCGTGGCGTGCTGCACGCGTTCCACCGCATCATAACCGAGCAGGGCGTGGGGGAGCTGTATCGGGGCGTGGCGCCGAGCGTGGTGGGCATGATTCCTTATGCGGGGGCGAATTTCTATGCGTATGACACGCTGTGTACGGCGTATAGGAAGGCGAGAGGGCGGGAGGAGATTGAGCCGCTGATGACGCTCGTGATTGGGTCAACGGCGGGGTGCTTTGCTGCTGCTTCAACCTTCCCCTTGGAAGTCGCCCGGAAACATGTAAGCATAAGGGTACTGGGTCAGGTGTTTGCTTCTCAGGTGCTCAGGTGACGCGTGCTGCGTGTTGTGGTCATGCATGGTGTATAGGAGGCTGAGCTGGGAGGAAGGACGGGTATGGGAGGGAGGAGATTGAGCCGCTGATGACGCTCGTGATTGGGTCCACGGCCGGGTGCTTTGCTGCTGCTTCGACATTCCCCTTAGAAGTCGCCCGGAAACATGTAAGCATGGGGATTCGGAGGGATGGCTTGCTCCCTGGCGTTCAGCTGCATAGGCGTGAGCTGCCTCGTTGCGTCTTCCTTGCCCTTCCCTGCCCTGCCCCATTCCCCCCCTCCATTCCACCTCGCCCTCCCCTTCCTACGCTTGCACTCGCCACCCTCTCTGCATTCCGCTTTCCCGCTGCAGAAGGAAGAGGGGAGGGTGGGGGGGGGGGGGGGGGAGGGAAGTAGGATGGCATATAGAGAGCATGCTGCAGTACATGCGGGGCACAGCGAGGGCGCAGAGGGATTGAACCCTGCTGTTCCAGCTTGCTCGCTGCTCCTTCCTCGCCAATCTCACCTCAATTCCTCCCACCCACACCCCCTTCTGTGTCTGCAGCTTCAAATGGGCTCAACAGGAGGCAGGGTGGCATACACAGGCATGCTGCAGTGCATGAGGAGCATAGTGAGGGAGCAGGGAGTCAAGGGGCTGTACCGAGGGGTGGTGCCGTCGTGTGCCAAGATGATGCCGGCTGCTGGCATCTCCTTCATGTGCTACGAGGTGCTCAAGCGCGTGCTTATAGAGGATGAAAAGGTTCGATAGTTTTATTTTTGTGACTCTCTGAAAAGCACTGGCTTGCTGGCTTTGTTGCGTGCTATTAGGTGCTGGAGGGTGTGCTTAAAAAGGCTGGAGTTGATGAAGGCTTGTATTGAGAAAGCTTGCTTTCTTGTCCTTCAAATTTGTCATCGTTCTCATTGCAACTGGAGAAGGGTGTTTACCGCGCTTCGACAATGCTAAATATTTGGTAGAGGCTCTTACGTATTGAACCACGGAATGTTGTGTGAGTAGAAACAAGCCATACAAATAGTAACCCTAAAACGGTTGTACTCTCTATAGTGCTACTCACTATAGCCTTAAAAACTAATACCGGTATAACATTTGACACACCCCCATCAAAACAAACAAAAGAAACAAAGGGTAACAAGACCAGTCAAGAGAAGCAACAAGACAACGCCCAGGGTGGATCTCAAGATCACCACACATTCCGAGCACAAGCAAACGGCCACAAGGCCAGTTCAGAAGTTCACAAATATACATAGATGCAAGGACAGGCAGAGCAGAGCAAGCAACAAAAAACAATGCTACAGCAACCTAGCACCAATGTCAACAAGGCCTAACTGCAGACAGAACCAGTGGCGGTCACTAGGCGCTAGTGCCTTGGTGAAAATGTCTGCTGTGTTGGTCGTTGAGGCCACGAAGTCCAAGCGAGCTTGGCCGCGTCGCTGCAACTCTCGCAGGAGAAAATACCTCACGTCGATGTGCTTCACTCTGCCCTCCAATCGAGGCTCTCGACAAAGGAGGATCATGGCCTTGTTGTCAGCGAGCAAGGTCGGTGCAGAGCAGTAAGCAAGAAAGCCAACCAACGAAGCTCCTGCGCAGCCATGGCACCAGCGTAGATCCCCACCTCTGCACTGGACTGTGCCACAGACGACGACCGAGTAGACCTCCACGACACAGCTCTAGCACCCAAACTGAAGCAGTACCCATGAGTAGACCGCTGGGTCTCCACGTCGTCGGCGTACGAAGATTCGCAGTGACCGGTCAGTACAACTGGCAGTGTCCCTCCAACCACAAGCCCCACGCTTGATGTAGTCGCCAAGTACTTCGCCACCCTCACAGCAGCCGTCCAGTGCACAGGACGGTGTCTCCCAGTTGCTACGAAGCGAGAAAGAACGCTCAGGGGAAAGGCGAGGTCCGGACGAGTACAAGTCATCAGGTACATGAGGCAGCCCACAAGCTCAGTGTAGGGACCACTAGACTCAAAGGGCTCGTCGAGAAAAGGGCCAGTGAGTCTGTGGTCAACTGCAAGAGGAGTGGACTATGTGGTGAAGTGCTGAAGCCCGAACCATCGAAGGACCTCCTGCACCATGTGTGACCGTGAGAGTATAATGGTGCGAGCAGCTCTGTCCCTGGTGATCTGCAAGCCAAGGTAGCGGCGCAGTTCACCTAGGTCAGTGCACGTGTGTCGTTTCTGCAGTTCAGACTTCACCTCAGCCAGAGCAACCCTGTCTGTTGTAGCGAAGACCAAGCCGTCAACGTAGACAAGGACAAAAAGAGAGTGGAGCCTCTTCGAACAAACAGCGACGGGTCCGCGGACGATGGCGGAAACCGAGGTCAGCCAGAGTGGTGCGTAGCGTGTCGTGCCACTCACGGGGCGCCTGGCGGAGACCGTAGACTGGTCGTCTCAGGCTCCACTGGATCCCAGGAGGGAAAATGCCAGTGAAGCCAGGAGGACGCCGCAACCATATCTCCTCGTGTAGGTGGTGGTATTGGAGAAAGGCAGTGGAGAAGTCGAGGGAGTGCAGCTCTTAGTCTCGCTCTGCTGCTACGTGAAGTAGCACCGGAAGAGTAGTCATCTTCGGGGTCGGGGCGAAGGTCTGAAAGAAGTCAACTCCCTCACACTGAAGCCCCTACCCACGTAACGCGCCTTGAAGACAGGCGGTGATCCAGACGGCCGCTTCACCTTGAAGATCCACATGCCGTCGACTACGTTCGCCCTGGGAGGGGGAACTTCGTCAACGTAGGTGCTTGTGGATCTCCAAGACACCATCTCTGAGTCCATGGCCGCTTTCCACTGAGAGGCCCACTGCCCTGACACTGCCTCACGGTACGTGCGAGGAGTCGGTATGTCAGGGGCGTCGGGGTCTCCCTCTGGGGAAAGCAGCATGGCACAGAGAGAGGGGGAAGCGGCTGCCAAGAACTCCAGCTCAAACTGTCTGTCCTCTAGGACGTCACAGCCAAGGGCAAACTCACCCCCAGCGGACAGAGGACGGGCAGGCGAAGCAGCCACTACACGCGCGGCGGGTGGCAGCAAAGTCAGCGAGAGCGGCAGTAAGAGCCAAGACAGACGCCGGAGAGGTACGAGGGTCGGTGACAAGATAGGCGAGAACACGCGGGACAACTGGACGAGCAGCACGGTAGTAGTCAGAGGTAGGAGTGGAGGAGACAGGAAGAGACGACTCAGGAGGAGAAACGAGAACAGACGCAGGCGAAGAACGATGCCGACTAGAACAAAGGAGGGCAGAGCGGAGGTCGTCAAAGGGAGACGAGGAACGAGCACGCGGGGGACAGGGACGGACGCGGGAGTGCGGGACAACGGGAGGAGGAGACGGGGACCGAGGAGGAGAGTAAACAGCAGGTGACGCGTCCGGAGGAGGAAACGTAGGACCGAATGCAGGGGGAGACTGTGAGCGGGCAGGAGTAGAAAAGGGAAGACCAAGGGCCCGAAGGCCACTCATGGGTGGGAACAACTGCTGCAATAGGGGCGGCTGCTGGTGCTGCTGCTGCTGCGGCTGCAGCTCCTGCTGCTCCTGCTGCACCTACTGCTGCTCCTGCTGGTCTAGCTGCTGCAGCTCCTGCCTCTCCTGCGCCAACCTCTCCTGCTCCTCGCGCGCACGTCGACAAGCAGCCTGGTAACGTGTGTCGTGATGGTGGGGAGGCGAAGAAGGCGTCGAAGTAGGAGTGCATCCAGCTTCAACCCCCTTAGAGCTAGCACCTCCAGTGCCAGCACCCCGGGAACCACAACCTCCAAGGTCAGGAACCCCAGCACCAGCACCTCATGAACTAGCACCTCCAGTGCAAGCACCTCCAGCGCCAGCATCTCCAGCTCCAGTACCTCCAGCTCCAGCACCTCCAGCTCCAGCACCTCCAGCCCTAGCACCTCCAGCTCCAGCACCTCTTGTTGCAATTACATTTTCTATGAACTGCTTCTTGTGTAGGTTAGTGTAGTTATTGCACTTTACTGTTGGTGGTGTACCTTCTCTATTGCCTTGCTTGCTATTTGTACCCTTCCGCCTATAGTGAACGATCTCTTTTGGCCAATTCTCTCTCTCACGCCATGCTCTCGCTAACTCTAGCTATGGTTCTAAGCAACCTAAAGTTCCGAAGTCCCTAATCTACTAGTTTGCACTTTGACATGTTATCAGAGTGGTTCTTATCCTAGGACCTATCTCGATAATGGGCCCACCATTCACGCTCGCTGCAGCCCGTAGACCTGCCCGTCGCATCCTGCATTTGGCGAGCGCCTTGCTGGTTCGTCGCGCTCGCCTCGTCGTACCCTCGCTGGCAAAAACGCGACATTTGGGCTTGCTACGCGACGGTCGCGAAGGTCGCAACGACCAGCATGCTGGTCGTCGCGGCCTTGCCTCGTCACTACCAGCTGCGCCAGCCGCGACAGCAGCGCCGACCAGCGGCAGCCGTGACATCAGCGCAAGCAGCACCACCCACGACATCCGCGCCTATCGGTGCAAATCGCGACAGAAGCGCCAACAGCGCCTGCCGCGACATCAGCGCCAACCAGCGCCAGCCGCGAGAGGAACTGCCTCCAGCGCGCCCGCCAGATGTTCCCGCTGCCCGCTCCCGACCCTGCTCCCGCCGCCCGCATCTGCACCCCCTGCTGTTAAGGGAGTGGCAGGAGTGGAGGGAGAAGCTGTTGCTACACTCTGCACCCCACTCGCACCACCCGCCTGTACCCCGCTCACGCCATCCCATCCCGCCCGCGCAACCCGTCCCCCCTGAAACCCCATCCCTCCCCTTCCTCCTCCCCGTTGCAGTAGCACCTGCTTTAACTGTCGCGTTGGGGACGGGGGGGGGGGGGGGGGGAGAAAGGCTGAGGGGGTGGCAGTAGGGATCCAGCAGGGACTTCCGTGGGTGGGGAAGGGTCTGGAGGAAGGAAGGGGGAGAGGGGGTGAGGTTCCAAGGGGCGGCTGAACAGGGGGGGTTTGGTTAAGGGGGGTGGTTGAATAGGGGTGGGGACTTGGGGGTTAGTAAGAGGGGTTCGCCGCGACTGGCCCCCCCACCTCCTCTCCCCATCCCTCTCTCTCACACCTCCCCCTTCGTACTTCTCATCCCTCTCCTCTCTCCTCTCTCTCTCTCCTCCTCCTCACTTGTCTCTCTGCCGCCTTCCTCTGCGATTGGTGTACTCCTTCAGGGGGTTTTTCTACATTAGCTACAACTGCAAGCAGTTTAAGGGGGTGTGTTGCAATTACATTTTTTTATATAAACTGCTTGTTGTGTAGGTTAGTGTAGTCATTGCACTTTACTGTTGGTGGTGTACCTTTTCTATTGCCTTACTTGCTATTTGTGCCCTTCCCCTTATAGTGAACGACCTCTTTTGGCCAATTCTCTCGCTCACGCCATGCTCTCGCTAACTCTAGCTATGGTTCTTAGCAGCTCTAAAGTTCCTAAGTTCCTAATCTACTAGTTAGCACTTTGACACCTCCAGCTCCAGCACCCCCCCGAACGAGCACCCCCAGACCGAGCACCTCCAGTGCTAGCACCTCTAGCTCCAACACCCCCAGAGTCCACAGCATCCTGTCGCAGGAGTTCCAAAGGCTGCTGAGGGGACTGTGAGGAGGACTGCGGGGAGGGAGGCGCTACCGGACGCGCTACCGAGGGTAGAGGGGTAGGTGAGGCACACCTGACGGGGCAGGACCAGGGGGGGCGGGGGTACCGGAGGAGCGGGAGCAGGAGGAGGAAAGGGGGCGAGGAAAAGGGGAGGAGGGGGAACCGGGAGACCTCGACAGGGGTAGCGAGCGTAGTAG